GACGGAGGATAGAGACAGGATTGAGGGAAGGGGGAAGGGGGACATGGGATGGAACGGAGGATGAATGAAAGATGGAGGGAGAAAACACAAACAATCGGGCATGGAGGAAGGGAATATGCTGGGAGAGAGGAGGGAGCAGGGGAGCAGGGGAGCAGGGGAGCAGGGGAGCAGGAGAGCAGGGGGAGGAGAGCAGGAGAGCAGGAGAGCAGGAGAGCAGGAGATTAGGGCAGCAGGAGAGCAGGAGATTAAGGGAGCAGGAGAGCAGGAGATTAAGAGAGCAGGACAGCAGGAGAGCAGGAGATTAAGAGAGCAGGGGAGCGGGAGAGTAGTAGGAGGAGAGCAGGAGATTAGGGCAGCAGGATAGCAGGACAGCAGGACAACAGGACAACAGGACAGCAGGACAGCAGGACAGCAGGACAGCAGGACAGCAGGACAGCAGGACAGCAGGACAGCAGGACAGCAGGACATCAGGACAGCAGGGCAGCAGGAGTAGAGGAGAAGGATCTTGTTCACCTTGACGAAGTCGTACTTAGACGACGTCGGCTGTCTGCTCATTCTGAAACTCCGCCAGCCTTCACTTTTTAACATTAATTCATGTGTTTGTTAACACTAATAAAGTATATTAGAACTATTTTTGTCTTACAACTCACTATTAGTGTTAATTGTTTCATATTTAGCATTAATCAGTTATACGACAGGCCTTGCCACCGTCTCTTCGCCATGCTGCCTTCGTCGCAAGCTTCGCTTGGTGACTTTAGTCTTGCTCCTACCACTACCACTACACCTAGTCCCTGCCTCCTCCTTCTTGCCGCCTCCTGCCTCCTGCCTCCTGCCTCCTGCCTCCTGCCTCCTGCCTCCTGCCTCCTGCCTCCTGCCTCCTTGCTCATCCCTACTCCTCCTTGCTACCTCCTGCTACCTTCTCAACCTTCCCCCTCCTTCTGCCTCCTCCTCCCAGATTCCCTAAAACCACAACATCACAACTATCACAGTTTTATTGCATGGTCTCATGATTTCGACTCTTCTGCCTCATACTCTCCATGTGCTGGGTCTCAAGCTACGATCTTTGACTCATCTTCAGCGTTTGCAACAGTAGCAGCAGCATGTGCCGTCCTTCTGCTTGTATCATCAGTAACGGTCGCTCACACCGAGGTCCCACCATTGCCTGACGTTTCCCTCTCGCAGCTCAAGGCCAAAACTCGCCAGGGAAGAGCGCTGTATCAGCAAGGGACTGGATCATACTACTTCTCGAACCTAAAGGTGCCGTGATGCATGCGTGGACGAGGAGGGCACTGATGTCACAGCAACAAGATTGAAAACCATGGGGAAAAGACGTTCTCTCCGCGAGTGAAGCAGCTGAACATGAGATTGGGAGAGAACGACTTGAGCAAGAAGTACTGGAAGGCGGCAGGTGAGCGCCTCTATCCACCCCCCCTCCCCGCCCCGCCCCCGCTCTCTCTCTCCGCTCCCTCCTCTTCTCGTTGGCAGCATCGGCCTCATTTGGTGCGGCAGGAATTCGTGGCTCGGCTCTTGGCCAAGTTGGAGCTCCGCAGGTGACAGCTCGTGCATTGCGGAGGAGGAGGAGCAGCAGCAGCAGGAGAAGCAGGAAGGGGGGAAGGACCGGAAGTCAGTCTGACGAGAGTGAAGATCGATCACTTCGTGGAGGAAGCAGCGGCTGATTGTGGTTCTGATCCCGGCTGCGTATGCGACTGGGCGGGGAAGCCCAGGCAATGTCTATACGAGTACTGCTGCGGGTATGAGGAGGGGGGGGGGGACGAGGAAGGGAAGGGGCGATTGAGGAGCAAGAAGGAGGGGAAGGGCAGGGAAAACATGCAATGGAGTAGAATGTCACCAGAGGACTTGTGCAGGACGCTAGTGGGGAGGTTGGGACAGTCGAGACCTGACTACCAGACTGTGCTTCCTAGCGTCGAAGATGTGAGTGGATATGCTGGGAGGGAGGGGGGCTCCCGAGCTGGGTTGTCGACTGATTTCTGCGACAGAGGGTTGAGGGGAAGTACCAGGAGATGCACTTGGAAAAGTGGCAGAGGATCTGCCAGCCGGAGCAAACTTTCTTCTCGAAACAGTGTGTTCATCTAAGTTCCCCTACCTCTGTTGACATGTTGCCAGTTGCTCGAAGCAGGCCCTTCCTGCCAACGACAATAGAAGACACTGATCTGAGACCCGACCCCGGCAACTTGCGGGCTGCCGGTCGCCGCGGCTTCATGATACTATGATAGCAGTGGCATGTAAATACTTATGTTAGACGATCGGACGGGGACTGGAAAAACGTCCCCCGGAAATGCCTACACGATCCGAGGCTTGTCAATTGAATCATGTCAGTGTGGCAACGGAAATTTCTACACAACGATAGACGGTCCGGCGCACCTTGCGCCTCACTGGTGATCGGATCCGAGGCCGCCGACTCGGGCCGGAACTTCCGACGCTGCCCGACCGGCCTGGCCGAGTCTTTTACACAGAAATGGTACAACCCCACCCCTGAAATCATAGCTAAAGTACCCCCCACTCCTCACTCCATGACCTTGTCCTTTTCGAGATCTCTTTTTAGTCTTTTTTTTTTTTCAATTTTGAATGATGACCCCCGTGCTCCCCCGCTTGCCATACCCTACCTCTTATACACATGACCCTCAATCCACGGAACTATACCCGTCATATACGGTATTTATTTCCGTTATCAGTAAGGGTACTTGGTATACCCCACCCTCAATATTCAATGTTACCCCACCCTTAATAGCACATTACATTCTACCCCTCACCCTCTAAAGTTTCATCTACCGGTACAACTTTAACCCCTACCCACTCCCTCTCAGAGGTGCACCCTACCTACCTTGGCATCTTCGTTTCCTAACCCCAACCGAAAATAATGTTAAATATTCAATTATTATTATATGATTTTATTTTTTATAGATAATTTTCATTGAAAATTTTGAAAATTTAAGTCAGTATTTCCCGACCTGTCATGTATCAGAGTACCCCTACCCCACACATTCGGAATGAATCACTACCCCGCTGGCCTTCCATCCCCCACCGGCCATGCAGTCATTCAGTCATGCAAACCTGCTCATCGTCGCGCAGCTTCTGTCTATTCATCCATTCCTCCCTGCCTCTTCTCTGCCTGATATCCTGATCTTGACTTCCTCCTGCTTATCCTCCTGCCTCTCCTGCTGCCCCTCCCTCTCCTCCATCCTGCCACTTTCCACAACTTCACAGCAATTGAAGCAAAAGCAGTCGGTGTGACAGCATCTAGATAGAACCTTGACTGTTCAAATTCTAGCACCTTTTCCCAGTGATCATCATTACGAACAATCTAGTCTTTACCCCTGCCATCTCTCAAACTAACTTGGCCTGCCTTTCCCCTCGCGAGTTTGGATGCAAAACCCCAAAAAGCTCCTCTCTTTCTTCCCTCACCATCGGCCACTGTCTGACATTGTTCACTCAGGTCCTCAACTTTCATCGCAGGACAATCTCGACATGTCAGTTTGATCAACGCTGGAACCATTGCAGTCCGAACACTCACTCTCTCTCTCTCTCCTTGTTTCTCTGTTTCTCTGTCTCTCTCTTGTGCCTCTGGGGTTGGAGTATGAGCAAGGCAGGGGATGAGTATTAACACAATGAAGGAACCGAAGCGGCCGTCCTCCCCGATGAACGCCTTTCCCCTTCCTGAGGACGGGAAGCAACGAGCTCTCCGTCGGACGTACGACCTCAGCGATCAGAGTCGAAGTCTGAACTCTCCGTTGAGGAGCAGGAACAGCAACGTACGGACTTCTCTCACTCTCTCCAACGTGAGCAACCGCAATGGAAGCCCGCGAGGCGATTCGCCCCCTAGGAAGGGGGCTGGCAACAGCGTCCTCCGTCCTCCCTCTCCGTCTCTCCGCAACTCTGTCACGCTCGAGAGGGAGAACTCTGACGATACCAGTCAACTTGACATCCAAAACTTGTCGCTCAGCTCCGTCTCCAGCGTGCGGAACAGCATCGGCAACGGAGTGCGAGGGAAGGGCAGGGACAAGGCGGCTGTGGCTGTCTGTGTCCGAGTCAGGCCGCTGGACGTTGTGGGAGGAGACAAGACCAGAGACGAGTCGAATCAAAATCAGATGTGCTGGCGATATGACTCTCGGAGCATCGCTCCACAGTTGGGGACGCCAGCAGGGGACATCTATGAAGGCTCCACCTTCACCTTCGATAATATCTTCCCCCCTATGGTCACAACGGATCAGATCTACAAGCAGGTCCTGTCAGAGATTGTGCAGTCGACGGTGGAAGGATACAACGGTTGCATCTTTGCTTACGGGCAGACGTCAAGTGGCAAGACGTTCACCATGTCTGGCGCACGATCATCGCCTGGTGTGATTCCTCTTGCTACTCAAGAGGTCTTCTCGCACGTGAAATCGTATCCCGATCGCGAGTTCTTCTTCCGCCTGAGCTACATCGAGATCTACAACGAGGTCGTGATTGACCTCCTCGACCCCACCAAGACTGGCCTCCAGATCAGAAGCAGCGATGGGTCGAGCGTTGTCAAGATCCTCGGGGTTACAGAGAAGGTGGTGACGTCAGCGGCCGAAGTCATGACGACGATCTCCATGGGGGAGACGCACAGGTCCGTGGGAAGCACCGACATGAACGAGAAGAGCTCGCGCTCCCACACCATCTTCCGCCTCGTCATCGAGAGCAAGCTGAAGGAGGTCCACTCCGCCAGCGGCCCCGAGTACCGAGTCAGCTCGCTGAACCTGGTGGACCTGGCGGGGTCCGAGAGCGCGTCTAAGTCGGGAGGGGTGGGGCAGAGGAGGACGGAGGGGTCCTACATCAACAAGAGTCTCTTGACGCTGGCAACGGTGATCCAACGGCTCATCACGGCCAGTGGGCACATTCCGTACCGAGACAGCAAGCTGACTAGGATCCTGGAGCCAGCGCTGGGGGGCAACTCAAGGACAGCCATCATCTGCACCATCACCCCGGCAGCCCAGCACTTCCCCGAGTCGATGAACACGCTGAAGTTTGCGGCCCGGGCGAAGAGGATGAAGAACAAGCCGATCCTGAATGATGTGAATGTGAGCGGGTCGTTGAGTGCGGAGGACCTCCCGCTGCTGAAGAAGTACAGAGACGAGATAGAGAACCTGCGGGGGGAGAAGGAGAGGCTGGAACAGCTGAACATGCAACAGCAGGAGGAGCTGGAGCACGAGAAGGGGCAGGTGGAGGAGATGAGGACTGTCCTCCTGCAGAAGATCGAGAGGTACGAGAGCATGATCGTCGACTTGGACAGCGTGAGCAGGTCGGCCGTGAATAACAAGACCCCGATCCGGTACAAGACGAAGAGGAGAGATGCTGCGGCAGACACGAAGCTGTCCGCGCACGGGATCGAGGACGCCAGGAAAGTCTTTGGGAAGGTGAAGACTCACGTGACGGACCTGCAAGATCGGCTGAACTGCAAGCTCGAGTCGATCAACAAGCAGGTAACGGAGGCGAACAAGGAGAGCGCGGAGAAGGAGAGGGAGGTGCAGGAGTTCTGCAAGGCGATCGAGGAGGGGAGGACTGTGGCCGACGAGGGGAAGCACCTGATGCTGCTGAATCAAGTGCTGAAGGCGGTGAAGGAGGAGCTGAAGATCGAGGACAACATCATAGGGCAGCTGGTGGCGGACATGAAGAACGACCTGCAGATGCTCGACGAGCTTCAGAAGGACTTCAACAGCCTTGAGACGTCCCTGCGCAGCCGGGACCTCAAGGAGAAGGGTCTGAACAACATCCTCAAGGACCTGCACAACCAGGTCAGCGACCACAAGAAGGTCATCAACGTGCTGAGCTCGGAGAACCAGCAGCTGCACGAGTCGCTCAACCATAAAGTGGACCAGGACGATGTCAAGCTGCTGGAGGACCAGCTGATGGACCTGGTGGAGGAGCTGAACAAGAAGGACGAGCAGCTCGCAGCGGAGAGGAAGGCCTCCGCGAGGCTGCTGGAGGAGAGGCACGAGCTAGAGAACAGGATCCTTCGGCTGGAGGAAGACAAGCTGACGCTGGAGGACCTGATCGACGGGACTCCCTCCCCGACCAGCTCTCGGGGCCTGCACGGCAAGCAGGGGCAGCAGAGCTCGGAGAGCGCGGAGGAGCTACGAGAGATCAACGCAAACCTGCGGGAGGACCTGCAGAGGATGAAGCAGGAGAACAACACTCAGCGGCTGCAGATGCAGCGAATGCAGAGCGAGCTCAGGAAGTCGCAGGGGTCCAGCGGAGGCTCGTCGGCAGAGCTGAACTCCCTGCGCCAGTCCATGTCGAAGCAATCGAGCATGATGGTGATGAAGGAGCGGGAGGTGGAGAACCAGCGGAAGACGATCCTCGAGCTAGAGCAGCAGTGCGCCCTGTCTGACAAGTGCATGGGAGAGCTCCAAGAGACGGCCATGGCACAGAGGGAGGCCTTGAAGGATCTGCAGAGTCAGATTGCCGAGAAAGAGGCTCAGAATGACATGCTGCTCGATATCATCCAGGTCGTAACCGCTCCTTCCTTGTTGCTCCAACACCGCCTCTCCCCTCCTCTCATCCTCTGAAACCGCTTCCCTCTTCCCTTTCCTCTGCTTCTATCTTCTCTCCTCCCTTGTCTCTCTTATACTTATCTCCCCTTCCTTCCTCCAACCCACCCACCTTCTTCCCCCTCTCTTCTCTCCCTCCCTCTTCCCCTCCCCGCCCTTGTCGTCATGTCTGACTCTTATCGCTGCAGAACACAGAATCCGCGTCCAAGGACGTGCTCGCGGACATGTGCTCGCAGCTGAGGTCCCTTGCTGAGGGCGGCAGGAAGACGCGAGAGAAGAGCTGGCAGCAGGTGCAGGAGCGACTCGACTTGGCGGCCAAGCACAGGGAGGAGGCGCTAGAGCTCCAGTCCCGACTGCAGCTCAGCAAGGGGTCCAGAGCTCTAGAGCACACGGAGGTGACCAACGGGAACAGGCACAGAGAAGATGAGGATTCCTTTCATCCCAGTGCGAGCTATGAGCTCAGGGAGCTCAGGGAGAAGCTGGCGAAGGAGGAGACGCACAAGAACAGGTTGGCTGAGGACTCGCACAAGAAGGCAGCAGTGATCCAGGAGCTGGAGAGGAAGGTCGAGTACCTCATGAAGCAGATCAAGTCTCTCGTGCAGCCCGCGTACACCGGGGGCGACAACGAGGAGCAGGCGATCCAGTCTGCAGCAGACAACAAGTATGAGGAATACCTTGAAGTAAGCTCCTCCCTCCCTCCCTTTCTCCTTTCCCTCTCCCTTCCTCCCTGCTTTCCTTTCCATACAATTCCTCCTTCAATCCCTTCCGCCACCCTGCCTCCCTCCTTGGCTCAATCTTCTCAGGTGCCTCTCCTTGACCGCGACGACTTCGTCGGAGACTTGATCTACCAGTACGAGGAACAGCGCATCCTTCTTCAGGTACTCGTGCTTTGCCACCGCCACCGAGCTGACCATCGATGCAGAGGAGGTTTATGCAGCAACTGAAGGAGCAAGTTTAGAGCTCCATTGAGAATACAACTTTTATTGTTTGCCTCAGGTTTCCTCCCATCTTTACCTTCTACTCTCCATCTCCCTCTCCCGCTCTCCTTCTCTCAACTCACGTACATACGTAAGCACTCCATCTCTCAATCTCCTCTCCCCCCTTCTCGGCCTGTTGAATGCAGCACTTTTTTTGGCGTCCCCCTGGTCGCAATCTGAATTTCACTCATCTGGCATATTCTTGCACCCAGTTCTTACACAACTCCCTCCTCCCAATCTTCCCCTTCCCCGCTGTTTTGCTTCCAGTCCATCCATCTTCCCACGAACCAGGAGTGAACCAGGAGAAACTCAGATGTTTGCATCATCAACGAAGTTTTGAAGCAGGATCTTTGCTAGTCCTGGTGTGTTGCTTACACCAACAGCACACAGCAAACAAGAAGTTGAGTGTACAACAAAATCTCAATCATGGTAAGCGAGGCGACGATAGCAAGGGTTTGCTTGCATCACAAAACGACAAGTCAAAATATATTTCCGTTCTCCCTGCATGCCCAACTCTGACGTCTGCTCCTTGACTACAGGTTGAAGGGATGCTTTCAGATCCGTTTCCAGCCCTTCTCCGCACCAGCTACGTCCTTGAGATGTACAAGTGAATGAGGAAACCATTACATTCAAAATCCTGCAGCTGCGCTATGACAGTCTTTCAGACTGATCTTCTCGCACGTTTGTACACGACAGACAGGACGGAGAGGTTTTGAACTTGCCTGTGTAAATCGCCCTCCAAGGAGATTTACCAAAAGCTATTCCATGCATCAATCCCCAATGGCGTTCATGGCAGCAGCTCCGACGATTCCTTGCATCTGAGAGTGAAGGATCCGGTCATGCAGGGTAGCAAATCGCGTCGATTCTTCTTGTCGCACACAATTGTTCACACGATCCAAGAGCACACAGTTGCTTTCAGAAGCACCAAGTATTGAAGTCTACAGTAGAAGGATTGGAACTGGAGGGAACCATTTCGGACAGCGATTCAGATAAGGACGAGCAAGATTGAGAGAGACTAGAAGGATGAATGAGCTGGTAGGCAGGAGGAGGAAACCTAGAACGTAGGGGTGGTGTGCAAAGTAAGTGGGGGGGTTGAAGGTGGGATGGCAAGAGAGCAGACAGTCATGGGGAGGGAGAGAGGAGGGGAGACTGAGAAGAAGCGAACGAGGCGGAGGCAAGATGCAGTGAAGGAGGCAGTCGTGCGTCCGAGGAGGAGGCCGAGGAGGAGGTGGAGGAGGTGGAGGAGGTGAAGTGCGAAGGGGGTGAAAGAAAACTGTAAAAAAACTAAAAAAACTAAAAAAAGATTCTCTCCCAAAAAGTCTTAACTCCTGAATCGCTGACAGGCGTCTGCAGGTATAAAATTAGATTTTGATGCGTCCGGGTATAAATGATCAAGTTCCTTCTCAAATTTCAAATTTTAGAGTCTATGTTCAAATCAATGACTCCTTCCAAGAGCACGCATGTGCTCACGTTTGAAAAAAACTGTTCATTCCTCAACGAGGGGGTACATAGAGTACCGGTACTTTTGAGAATGAATTGCATGATTAGAGTACCGGTGTTACAGCCCAAAGGTTCCCAAAGCAACCGGTGGTGTACGAAAACCTTTCCTCTCATTATTTTTAAAAGTCGTCATGACCCCCTTGGAACCTACCACCCCCTCTACCTATACCTTCACGCTGGTAAAATGGGGGTGTTTCACCTCCGCGTCAAGAGACCACCCCACCTTGTTAAAACCGTGTTGAAGTTGGGTCTTGAAGACCGGTAACCGTACCGTCATGGGCGAACAAAGGAAGGTAGACGGCGGGGGACGGAGAGTGCATGTTGCCGTGGGGGAGGACGAGGAGGAGGGACGAGAGGAACGTGATTAACGATTTCAATGCGAAGCTGACGGCATGGAAAAATCAAGAATCTAGCGTGTTGTTGTGGTTGCATGACAAATGACCCTCGTTCCATTTCCTCTGTGAGAGGTTGGGAGGATCGTGCAAGGAGCAGGGGAAAGCAGCAGCTCGAACAAGTTCACGAGAGTTGAGCTCAATCATGTGATCTGCCTCGACATTCAACCATACACGAGCGGTCTTCCAGGTTGCCCTTCTCACCAGATGACTTTCAAACTTTGGAATCTTGCGATGACATTCGGATCGACCGCCGATGTCAGTTAGTGCGAAGGGTCTTCTTGCGGGAATCACGTTTGCAATCAAAGAGACATGACAGGAGTTGCCCTTGAAGATGAGTGATCGGATCGGATCCGACGAGTTCCCTGCGGAATAGTGATATTTCGGCTGTTTCGAACCCTTCAAGTGGGCTACGTAGACTACCATGTCAAGGGAGGACATGCTACGAGTCAAGAAGATACAGAAACTGGCAGTCAGAGACGAAACAAAGGATCTTGTCGATGCTCTTGACAACATGGTCCCTGCATCACCACAAGTCAGGAGGCACAGATCGCTGCTGAGATCCGGGAGGAGCATCACTCAGCTCCTGCAAGATGTGCAGGCGGAGGTTCAACGACGCATGCAGGGAGCAGCTCAGTCAGACACGTTCTTGTCCCCCAGTCTCCTTGCTCAGAGCTTCGACTGTGCCTCATGTCCGGTGGCCGTGGTTTCGGTTCCATCACTGCTGCTTCTCTCCACCAGCAAAGGGTTTCGAACGTACTTGGATGCTTTCCCCGACAAGGCCTTGGCTGGTCAATCGATCATCCATCTAGTAGAGCCTTCGTATCAATCTTCGTTCCAAACATTTTTCGGGCGAGTTGCCGCATATCCCGGAGAGCACTTCTCCTCTTGCGTTTTCTTGATGTTGACTCGTTGCCACGACACGCACCTCAGGCTGGCGCCTTTTATTGTGGAGGATTGCTGGTGCCAAGAAGGAACACATCTTTTCATCTTCTTGAAACCAATCCATGAGGCTACCATGACATGCCAGCTCACATCCAGCATTCCGGACACGCATGTGCAGGGGGTTTACAGGTTCGAGCAGATTTTGTCCACGTTCGATCCAATACGGCTAGAGAGATGTTTGCAAGGGCAGGTTGCAGGTCACATGGAGACTTTTATTCTGAGATCTTTGTGCGATCTATGGCAAAATTCATCGTACGATGACGTGCTACAGCAAGTCGCCGAAAAGAATCATCTGTCGTTGGAGAAGATCAAGGGTTGGAGCACGCAGATCTACATTGACGCGCAAGTCTCTGATGTTGTCTCGCAATGCACTGTGCGGAGTCGATACAGTTTGCCCTTTCATCTCGGGCAGCTCGCAACAGACTGGACCAACGAGCAGTCGATCGTCATCAACGAGTTACCTGCTGCTGGACGAGATGATTCCATTTCTAGCTTCTGGCTGATCGATCAACGCAACGATCCTGACGACAGCAAGGAGAGTGTCGACTTCCAAGAGTTCTTCATGCGTAAGGTGATAGAATCTGTCCATCTTCAACCTGCCAGAAATCGTGTAACATGCTCTGCAGCTCAATCAGCAACTCAAGTGCTACTGCACGAGGATGTATTCCATTTCATCTAGCCAACTGTCCATACGTGGGCGCACGTTTCAAACTGTACATAGGTGAGGATTTCTCAGCAACGGCAGCCCTTGTGTGGTTGTTGATGACATATAACTGCAGTCCCGGAATGGAGTATACGGTTGTCTTCTTGCCAGCTTGCTAAAGAACTTGTAAATCAGCATCACTGTTCAAACCATGAGTCACATGATTTAAGGTCGATTTCTGCTCATTTGACCCTGTCGCGAAGAACAAACAATCAGTGTAGAATACATAGCAGGAGATAGAGTTAGTTGGGAAATAAACAAAGGATTATTCACCAACAAAAACAGACGACAAACAGAAAGAACTTGGAGCCATCGCGCATCCCTCATTCATAATCCCTCATCATACAATCAATCCTATTCTGACTTCCAGAATGTTGCATCCAATACATCTCGCTCCTTGCGCGTGCTAAAATCCTGGTTTTTTTCCCACAATCTTTTGTCTAAACTACTCTCCGATCTATGTGTGGATCTATGAAATCTGTTTCAGCCTGTCAGTTTCACTGCTCCAGGTCATATCTGTGTTCTATTAAGATTTTCCTTCGCCATGGAGTTCATCCCCTTTTGTTGCCTCAGGGCTTGCTGTGCTTTGCGCATCCTCATCCCCTTCTCCTCGCTGTCATCTTCTCGCTCCCTCCTCGTTCCTTGCTTCTATCCCAGCCTCTCGTTGAGCTCACGTCATATCTTGAAGTTCAAACTAATGAATGTAGTGCGGGCAGGAGGAATCGAGCTTCAGCAGCAGAGAATGAGAAGGACAGGAGTTTGATTGCATGACTGCTGCGATACACGCTGATAGCCGGTATCAAGAGGAATGTTTCGTCGTCTCTTCTTCTCAAACTCGATATTTCACTCTCTCTTCATTTTCCTTTATCTGTCTATTTGTTCCTCTTCCTTCCCCCACCTAACTCCCTCTCTCCTGATCCTTTTCATTTCGGCTCCCCTCCCCTCAGCTGCGAGACTCCGTCACTATTTTTTTCCCTCTTTAGCTAAGCCCTCCCTCCCTCCCTCCCTCCCTCCCTCCCTCCCTCTCTCTCCCTCTCTCTGAGCCGCATCTTATATCATCTTTCTGCCCGTCAATCCTGTGATCAATGAATTCTGCTGCTTCCTTCTTTCAAGTCATCGTCATCGCCATTCCACCTCTGCCTAAGACTCCCTACTCGCCTCATCGTATCGCCGCATGTTTCCGCCCTCCTGATAGCTTGGCTCTGCCATGGCTCACTTCATCCTTCCTAGGATCACTTGCTGCTCCTCTCTGTCCTCTGACGTGAACTCGCCTCGACCACCGCATCTTACGAATGAGAAATAGGATCTTTACCACTGAGGCCGAGTTTACTACCGGATATCATAGATGACAAAAAGAATTACGTATCCCTGCAAAATTGAGCCTACGAAGTCAGCAGCAGGCAAAAGCAAGAAAAAAGAAGGGAAAAAAGGAAAAAAGAAGGAAAAAAGGATCACACAAGGAGCGACTGTTCCTCCTGAGACTCGACCGCAGCCTCTGCTTCCTCTGCTGCCTCTACCCTCCTCTCCCCTGCGCTATCTATCTCCTCCTCGTCGCTCTCTCTTGCGCTATCTATCTGCTCATCTCAGCCTCTCTCTCGTCAGGTCGACCCTTGCTATCTCCCCCGCAGTCGGGGCCCTCCTCTTCGAACCCTTCCTTCTGACCCAGCACCCTCCCCTCCTCTAGTTCGGCTCCGCAACTTTGCTGACCTGCTGTCCGATGATTCTTGAAACTTTCCATGGCTTCCAAAGTTTTGGCCCCGCCCTCCATGTCTTGCTTTATCGCTCTTGTTTCTGAGGGAGCGTGTTAGGGTTGATGAGCGAAGACTTGCAAGGGTGTGCCCTTCACCAAGGCAGCAGAAGGAGCGTGTCAGGCCCCGATACAGAACCGACCGTTGTTCCTTACACGGAACTCACCTTGTTTCTGAGGGCCCTGCGAATGCCATCTGGTTGAAAGCAGGGGTCTCATGGAGCTTGTGGTGGTGAGGGGTGGTGCTAGCAAGCAGGAGAACTACCCGGTCTCAAACCTCTGGAGTACCCTTGAAGGACTGATGAGAGATAATGGTCGAACGAAATTGGTGTTGGCGCGGTGACGACAGAGACGTGAAGCTGCCAGGGCTCTCTCCATGACATGCCCACCAACTGCACAATTGCAAGCTTGTTAGCCCCATCACAAGTTGTCATCACAGATAACTTGGTCTTCGTGTATGTAATGGTGGCAAGGAATTGCTTTCCTAAGGAGACATGTCTTTGTACATCTCTTACAAAGCTCGATCATCTGCAAAATCAAGGGAGAAATTTCATGCTGGAAACCTCGACAGTGTGGAATCGACTAGTGGTCAGTGGAGGAATCAAGCTATTTCATTCAAGGCTGGCAAATAGAGGTGACGAAAATCATCATTACAGGTCAGATGCGTTTCGTAGCGAAAAAAATAAACAGAGCAGAGCAACGAACCGCTGTGGGATCTATCCATTCATTCTGCATCAAAGGTATCGAATCAAAGAGATGTGATGTTCGAATAGATGTTGAGGAACCTAACAAAGATGATGAACAAAGCCTTCAGTGTAGAAGGCTAGGTGGGTCACTGAATACCATTGACATTATAGCCTTGTATCATTTCAGGCTCAGGTTTTCAGTAAAATGTTACGATGCTCTAGAATGATAGAACGCAAGCAACTTCGGAACTCAGGCTCAAGCACTAGCACCATGTCAATGGCCCGAGCCTGGCACGCCACGCACTGCCGGTGACTGCATGCAGATCTATTGTGACACGAAGTAAACTGAGCATGATGATGTGACGCACTGCGGCAGAAAAGCACACTCCATACAGGTTGTCAACTCTCAAGATGTAAGGATATGAAGTCAAGCCATATATGCAACATGGAGATAACGGTTGTTTCAGATGTGATCATGGGCCACTGTCCGATGATGAATTCATTCAAATCGTCTTTTCTCCACATGTTGAGTGACCAACAGCAAGTAGTCTATACACTTAGATCATCCCTACATTCAAGCACTAGCACCATCTCAATGACTCGGACTCCGAGTATGGTGACAGTAAATGATGGGACAGTGACTGGCATCGCGGCCGGATAGCCCAGGCGGGCCGGCCTCAGGCTCAGTGTTACTTGCCACTTCCCCGCGCTTGCCCTCACACGATGCGGCCGGCGGTCATGAACGCAGTCACTGGGTGCGGCCACGAGGCCTGCTGGGGTCAGAGGGTGCGAGGGAAGTAGCCAGGAAGTAGCGCTGCTAGTACAACTAGTACTACCACAAGTATCAGTACCTGTACTCCCACGAGTACTACTACAAGGACTACTGGGTTACTACATGGACTACTCAATACTTCCTGCAAGGACTACTGGAACTACTACAACAAAGATTACTGGAAGTATGGAAGAAGTAACCCTGAAAGCTGTAAGGGCTACTGCAAGGAGTACTCCAAGAACCAGAAACAAGGGAAAGAAGATGGGGTTGTTCAACAAGAAGAAGTTGAGGTGAGGCCTCTCCCAGGGTCTTGCTGAGAATCTCAACATTTATTTCCTGATTTGATTGTTTTCCAGGAATGTGCGCGCTCTTGTTTTCTTGCTCGCTTGCAGCCAACAGTGCACTTTATCGAGATGCGATTTGAGCTCTCGGTCATATGGAAAGTTTCCATCTTTGTGTGAATTCTGACATCAAGTAGGAAACTTGTCGCCAGCATATTCCCCAACTTCAAGTTTAGGTCTAGAAATCGTTGTGGTCCTCGTGGAATAACAAGGTTGTTGTCGTTCAGATACATTCCGCCCTCACCAAAGGAGGAAGATGAGGAGAAAATAGTGCGCACGTTCCCTGATGGAACCAAGTACACCATGATGGTTCTCTCGTTCGCTTCTTAGTGCATAGCAAATGTGACCCCTATCTATGCTCAGACTAGGCTGGGTCAGGACAAGTACATATTCAGATTGCGTCACAACAACACGTAATGTTAACTGAAAAAGAAAATCATACGAAGCCTGACATGCAACCGTAGCAATGGATTTTACATGGTGCCTAAGGAAGAGAACCGTATAGTTCCATGGTATCAACAAGAAAATCCGGTGAGAGCAGAGTTGAGCTATGGCATCGAGGTAACGATGTGAAATGCCAGGTTATCCCGCTCGTCGAGAGTATCTTGGATGTTGTGAAATGGCAGGTGAGGAAACAATTGGTTGGTGACAACCAAGGTACCAAGGTCTGAGATCTTGTCTAGGCGACGGTGATCAAGGGAAAACTTTTGATGTTCGGAGCACATATTATGGGACAAGACGTAGGTGAGTTGTGTGGCTTAAATTGCATGTCGAAAACATCGGACCACAATCCGAACTCCTTCCTGTCATTGATTGATTGCATGCATACACAGACAAACTATTTCCGATCCCAACAGGACCATTCATGCAGACGGTAGGAGAAAGTTATCGATCATGACTACGATGACACTGCTGCGCCACAGAATGATACGGAACAGCTTCAAGCAAGAATCATGCGACTGAAGGGAGGCGAGTTACACTGGCTGTGCTCTTGTAAGCACCTCACCTCTAACATGGTCAGTAGGCTCAATGTGTGAGTCGGCTGTGCAAGGGAAGTGGCCTTTTTTTTTGGCAAACAAACAGAGTCCAGAGTCCTTCAGGTTGAATCCTGCTCTCCCTCTTTACGTCTACACGTCTCGTCATGCTCTCACCGTCTTGACGACACCCCAGGAAGTCTTGCGTGGATCTGTTCAACTCCTACGTTTCGGAAGCTGCAGACACGAAGAAGTGGCTGAGCATCAATGACGAGCACGAGACCCCGGATGAGAGGTGAGACGGTGAGGAGAGGAGATGGTAGCTTTAACTCTCGACGATTCAGGCCCCTCCATGTTCAAAGCGACCTGGAATGGTCGGAGGAACTGCTGGCAATATATCACAACTTCTCGTGGTTCAGGAGGTAAATACTTGGTCAACTTGGGTCGAAAGGAGCTGTTTCTCACTTCTCGAAAGGTACCTAGAGAGAACGTCGATATATGAGGAGCATGATGAAATGGAGGTATGGAAACAGAAGAGATGGTAGGGAGATCTCGTGTGTGAACGAGCAAGGCAGGCCAAACTTCAACCAAACTTGTTGTTCGCCACCCAAGAAGACTTGACGGAGAGCCAAGATGGTAGATATCTAGGTTCGATATCGTCTGGCTGCGCATTGCTGTATCTGGTTGTGACTCACTGTAGGTTACATCCATTTCTCGAGGCTCCCGAACAGACACATCGCTGAGACCATTGGGATCCCGAAAGAGGTGGAGAAAGTCGTCCAGCGCTCAATCATCCTGACATGGGATGTTTCAGAATCCTGTCCCAAAGGCGATTCTGAGCAAGGAAGCAGAAGGGAAGGTGAAGGAGGTGATAAAGATGTTGATGCACGATTGCCAACGCCCTTGACGAGCTCGCCGCAGATGAATGATCTTGTAAACGAGTATGTAAAAGGACAAGACAAGAGAAAACTGTCAAAGATACATGTAACGCCCTCTTGTTGCAACTTAACTCCAGATTGATGTAAGATGCAGGAGCTGATGACCGTCGAGCTGCCGAGATTGAAGCTTGCAAAGAAGCTGGACAAGGTGAATGTTTCGTTCTTATTTGGACTTGAACTGAAGAGTTGATGCTGTCAAATAGGACATGACGTATACAGAGGTAAAATGTCAGGTGTCAGTGACATGTCGTTCATGGTTTGCGCAGTTGATGCTCAACAGAAGTCTATGGTCCTTGCAAGAGATGAACGAGACAGATGCGGTAGAGTCAACCCCGTTGCTGTTCCTCAAGTGATTGTGGCCTCAAAGTCCTTGATGATAGCTTGCGCGATGGGGGATCTGAATACGGTTAAGAGTACATCTTTCCAACAAGCAACGCTCACCTCAGTTGTCAGGTTGTTGAGTTGGTGAAACGAGGCGCAAATGTGAAAGCCATGGATGGTACGAGTCGGTTCTGTTCTCTCCAACACATCTCATACCAGCGTCATGTAAAGTCCAGACATCTGACATGACCTTTACAAAGGGTATGGAAGAACAGCGTTGCATTACTGCGCCCTTGGGCCCTCCTTCCAAAGTCGCATCCCTGCTCTGCTGGTACAACTAGGAGCCGGTATGCTTGTCTTTCAACATGTCAAGTCATGTCTTTCGATGCCACGTGACCTTTCTGCGTCCGATGATTTGAATCTTCTCCTGCTGTCATCATAACTCACCGCTCACCCCTACCCTTTCATCTCTCACTCTCACCCCTCCTGCTTCCTCTCTCTCACCCCTCGCCCCTCCTCCTTCCTCTCTCCCCCCTGACCCCTCCTCCTTCATCTCTCCCCTCCTGACCCCTCCTCCTTCCTCTCTCTCCCCTGACCCCTCCTCCTTCATCTCTCCCCCCCTGACCACTCCTCCTTCCTCTCTCTCCCCTGACCCCTCCTCCTTCAACTCTCACCCCTGACCCCTCCTCTTCCGTCTCTCAACTCCGTGATCTCTACTTCCCCGCATGAATCTTGTCCGGCAGACATCGACGAGCAAGACGACGATGGGCAGACACCCTTGATGGCAGCCGGTTGTCACGACCGCGATCTTCCTCCACCTTGACAGCTTCCCCGCAGCCATCTCTGGAGCGTATCACACGTGCAAGACACTGGTCGAGCTGGGAGCAGATCTAGAGAGAAGGTGAAACCGCTACTCATCTCCTCATCTCAACAACCTCGTTCGCTGCGAGGCTGTCCTGCTCTCCTCAGCACCTTGCTGATCGCAAGTCTTGATACGGCAGAGGATGGGGACTGAGGACGAGCCTTCACTGGGCTGCAGATCTCGGGATGGTAAGAAAGTTCTCCTTTACGCCTCGCGCCCTTCCCCTTCGCCTCTCGTCCCTCCCTCGCAGCCTCTGACTCGTGCGCTGGCAGGTGGAGATTGTGAAGCTGCTGGTCGAGAACGGAGCGGATCTCGCTCTCGAGGATGCACTGTAGGGGAACGCGAGGAAGCGCCTTAGGTGACATGTAGGCAGGGGATATGACGTGTTCACGATAGCCAAAGAGCGGCAGCACAAGACCATGTTCAAGGTATGCAGGACAGTTTTTGCCCAGTGCTCCACTGAGATGCTAGCAGTACATCAGGGAGTACAAGGATACTCACCAAGACAGGTTCATTCAGACGGAGACAAAACATGTGACCTCGTTGAGAGCCTGTCGCTTGCGCGATGACAGTGGAGCAGATCTTTGGAGGAGTCTGGTTTGATCCTACCTTGCATCCAAAATCTCCGATCTGGGAAGTAAGAGGCGAGAGCAAGCGAAGGAGGGGGAGGGGGGGAGGGAAAGAAGAGGAAAGGGAAAGAAAGGCGCAATGTGTGCCAGATAGAGGTGAAGACAAGGGTGAGAGCAGTGAGTGGAGGATTGAAGAGGAGAAAGGCTGATAAAGAATGAAGGGAGGAGAAAGGCTGATAGAGAATGAAAGAGGAGAAAGGCTGATAGAGAATGAAAGAGGAGAAAGGCTGATAGAGAATGAAAGAGGAGAAAGGCTGATAGAGAATGAAAGAGGAGAAAGGCTGATAGAGAATGAAGGGAGGAGGACGGTGGAAGGGTGGTGAGGAATTGAAATGACATGGTGGCAGCTGATAAGAGAAGAGGAGGAGATTACAAAAGCAGCAGGGAAAATGCGCCAGCGCCGAGCTTGTAAGAGGAGGAGGAGGAGGAGGACAGTGTGAAGGGAGGCTGGGGGAGGGAGGGGAGGGGAGGGGAGGGGCTGTACGCATCGCTGACTTGACAAACAAGGCTGGATCCTTACAACGAGACCAAACACAGAAAATGGACTCTTAAAAAACTAGAGAGGGTAACCCTACCCCTCCCCTTGCTTCTTCCTCTCGACCTCACCCCTCGTCTCCTCCCGCTCCTCCTCTCTCCTCCAGCTCCTCTTACCTCTCTGCTCTTTCCCCTCCGCTCCCCCAAACCTCCAGTCCCTTCGTCTCTGACCAGCACCGCAGGATATTGCAGAGTTCGAGGAGGATTGGTACGAGGAGATGGGACTCCCCAAAGAGCTCGCGGGAAGGAAGGAGTAAGAGCGCGGACTGGTACGCTAGCTGAGCGCTGACGGATAAATCTTCCTCCAGGTTGCTCAATTTTTCGCCAAAGGGGAGGAAAAGATTCGTCGACAAGCACAAGCATGTAATGTTGCCCTCCCCACACCACCCTCCTCCTTTCCCCTCCCAGTCCTGCCTTCCCCAACCTCTCCTTCTTTCTTCCTTCACTTCTCTCTTCAGTGCTTTCCTGCCTTTCCCGCACCTCCCTGCTGTCTTCTTACCTTGCTGATCAGGAGCCTGGATTCTTGAATTGGGACATCCTGAAGGAGATGAAGATTGGGATGGGACCTGGGGGTAAGAGAGGAGCAGCATGGGAGAAGACTGGCTGACGGGTCGGCAGAGTACAACATCTTTGACAAAATTGACGGATTCGAAGAGTGAGTGATGGCGATGATGATGATGATGATGATGATGATGATGATGATGATGATGAAGTCGAAGAAGGAGCTGCGGGTGGTTGTGATGATGACGATGATGATAGTCGTTACCAATATCATCATCATGCTGGATATTAGGATGAGAACGAGGAGGATTAGGAAGGAGGAGGGGGTGGTGGTGGTGTGGCGATGATGATGATGATGATGATGATGATGATGATGATGGCGATGATGATGGCGATGATGATAATGATGATGATGATGATGATGATGATGATGGTGGTGGTGAGTGACGATCATGTTGACTATGGGAATGACGACGATGACGACTTTGGTGATGATGTATGACAGACACTGGAACGAGGACAGTAAGTTTCCTACCGTTTAAGTGGGGCATCTTCGGCTCTCGTGACTTCATTGACATAAAGCTTTACATGATCCTCTAGTCTTCTCCTCTTGCCCCTCCATCCCGTCAAGCTCCCTCCTGCTCCATGACTTCTTCTACATCTAACCCCGTGGGGCGGGGGCCCCCCCTCCCCCTCCTCCCCCCCCTCCTGCCATCTTGTCCACGCTGACCAGTTCCATCCCCCGGATCTCTCAAACCTCCTGCAAAATCAAAAAAACAACCAACTAACCTTCCTCTCCCTCCCTCCCTCCCTCCCTCCTTCCCCTCCCTCCCCTCCCTCCTTCCCCTCCCTCCTTCCCCTCCCTCCCCTCCCTCCCTCCCTCCACTCATGATCTGCGGAGAGGACGAGCGCATGCCGGCGTCGGAGCTACTGGAGGAGCTCAAGACTCTGATGAGGGAGGAGGCAAGGCTCTCTCGTGCTGCCAAGGAGCTGCGGGGTCGACATTTTCGCGTCAGCAGGTTGGAGGAGGAGGCAGAAAGCCTGAGGACGCAGGTAGAAGACGCCATGGTAACTACACAGATCGATGCCAGGGCGATAGTGGAGGAGAACAGAGAGCTGCGCATGCTGGTGAGAGCCGCCGAACAAGATGCCATGATGGCGCTTCAAGAGCTTTCCCGCGTGCAAGCTCAAGCTATCAGTGCCGTGCGGAGGGTCATGAGCTCGGAGGAGGAGGTGGAGGAGGACGACGGCAAGGACAGGAACCAGGGCGAGGAGGAGGAGGTGGTGGAGGAGGAGGAGGAGACACGGCATGCGAGGTTTCCTTTTTAGTTTCACTCTCTTGCTCTGAGCTGGTGTTCAGGTTGCTGGAGGAGGAGGAATTTGTACAGCGGCGAACGCAGGAGGAAGTCAGAAGGGAGGAAGACGGAGGAGGCCGAGGGTACATGGAGCAAGAGGAAGAGGAAGGGAGGTCAGAGGAGGATCGGAATGGAAAGGTACCTCTGCGAATTTGACCTTCTGCCCCTCACGTGCTTCTACAGAACGACGAGGATGGTCAGCGGAATGGAAGCAGGACCCCTCCTCCTCACGACGAGTTTGTATCTTGTTGGACTTGACAAGCCATGACTGCATAGAGAGGGACTGTTTATTGTTGATACAAAGATTGAATGGTCTGAGCGTACAGCTCGACGATCTTGTTCCTTCGCAGCTCCAGCATGGGAGTGAGTGAGCCCTCCTGGTGTTGACGTGAGGGAGGACCAAGAGACTAGAGCAGACGAGCAGACTGACAAGGGGAGAAGGGAGGGAGGGAGGGGCAGGAGAAGGAGAAGGAGAGAGGAAAAGAGATGAGGATGAAGCGAGAGAGGAAGGGAGGAGGAGAGAGAGAGAGGAAGGGAGGGAGGGGTAGGACGAAGGGAGGAGGGGAGGGAGGGAGGGAGGGAA